TAAGCTAAGTAACAGGAGGATATCATTTGGAAAGTAGGTAAAGCTTGCCATTTAAGATTTTTTCCTGCATCTAACACATTTCTTGGCACATGGAAGGAGAACAAAAATCTCTGTTACTGAATTAATGGATCTCTCCTTATTCCTCATCCTAGACCCCCAGCACCACTTCCCATGGCCTCAATTTTAAATTTTTCTCTACTTCATTCATCTTTGTTCATTTGTCTCACAGAAATGTTATTTCACCCACACTAACACTTCCATTTAATATTCCCACCCCACCTATTTCTTCTTCTTCCAGGATGATACTCATTCGTCACTTTCTTCATCATTTTCTCATTTTCTGCCAAATCCCTGCACTCATCCTATAATCCATTCTGTCCTGCCCTGTCCAAAATATACGCGCACGTGCGTGTGTGTGTGTGTGTGTACTTAGCCCGTCAGTAAGGTTGCTCTTTTACCTACCTGTAGCCACTCAATTTTAGGGAGAAAAAAAGAGATAATTTAAATGTAATGCCTCTATACTTTCTTCTTCTATTTAACACTTATACCAGCAGGATTCAACTCCTTTTATATCATATATATTATTTTCTATCACTATGATTTTACATGATTGCAGAGCAAACAGAACTGTGACATCTTTCACAGCTGAAGAACCACCATTTAGTAAATATTTACTATGTGCTAGATACGATGCTAAGCACTTTATATATACTCATTAATTATTTAGAACAATCCTGTGAGGTATTTTGATTTTATAAATAAGGAAACTGAGATACTAAGTTAATTTTTCTCTTCATCTATTTGTATCTTGGAATAATTAACTTAGTAAGTCTCAGTAGCGTTGGTACAAGTGGAAACTCACTCAGGTACTGATCAGCCTCAATGACCACTCTCTGACTCAGGGTCTAACACAGACCAACACTACTCTGTGGAAGGCCACCAAAGAAAGACCTGCACATCAAGTGCCTCTTCACTGTTCACATCCCAGTAGATTTTCTATAGGATTTGGTCCTGCTTATTCCTTACACTATAAGGAATAATAATTTTAGGACTGTATAAATGTAACTACTCCTTGACTGTTGAGGAGTTGAAATTACATTCGGCCCTTTGAAGGCAGCTGCGAGGCTGCTGTGGCCCCCCAGTGAAAATGAGTTTGATACCCCTGCCTTCATCAATGTTTTTTCACTGCTGACTTTTCATTTCCCTTCTTCTCTCTCCCTTGCAGCATATATCAGCATTTACTTATTTCTCCTATATTAACAAAACTCTATCAATTCTGCCTCCCCTACATAACAACTACCCCACATTTCTTTCTCAGTCCCCAGTGAACAAGAAGGCTACCTGAGCTATTCCTGCTTTCAGATCTGTCATTCATTCTCCTATCCACTGGAATCTCAGTTTTACAATAAGCACTTCATTGAAACTGCTCTTTTCAAGACCAGCAATAATCTCTCATTACAAATCAAGTGAAACCTGTTCACTTCTTATCTGACATGACCTTTTTGAACATATCATTGGCACTTTAAACTCAAAATAAACTCATTGTCTCCGTTAGCCACTTAGTTTGTCTCTCAGGTTTTTATCTTATTTAACTGAAACTGTTATTCCATTTTAGTAGGTTCAGAACGTTACAGAGTTTTCTTCCAATCTCCCTTTCACTCATCAAATCTTTTCACCCAAATCCTGATTTCTACCCTGGTGAAACCTAGTCAGTGGTTCTTTTTTTTTTAATTTTTTAAATTTTTTATTTAATTATTTTTCAACTACAGTATTCTTTTACTCCCATCCCAGCCCACCCTCCCTCTGCCCCCCACCTCCCTCCAATTTTCATCCCCCTTAGTTTTTGTCCATGTGTCCTTTATACTTGTTCCTGTAAACCCTTCCCTTTTTCTCCTGAAATTTCCTCCCCTCTCCCCTCTGGTCGCTGTCCCCCTGTTCTCTATTTTAGTGTCATTGTTTTTATTTTGCTTGCTTGTTTGTTTTGTTGTTTAGCTTCCCATTAAATGGTATTTGTCTTTCACCGCCTGGCTTATTTCACTCAGCATAATGCTTTCCAGTTCCATCCATGCTGTTGCAAAGGGTAGGAGCTCCTTCTTTCTTTCTGCTGCATAGAATTCCATTGTGTATATGTACCATAATTGTTTGATCCATTCATTTACTGATGGGCACCTAGGTTGCTTCCATAGAAACACATTAGAATCGCCTGGAGAGCTTTTAAAAACATACCCATGCCTAGACTCTAATCCCAGACTTAGAGAATCTTACAGGGTAGACTAGTGCATGGATAACTTTTAGTATCTTCAACTAATTTAAATTGCAACCAGGATTGATACCCATTGTTTCACATTCTCCTCAGAGTAATAGAGCCCAACTCAGGCCCACATTAGCTCTTCCCTGGATCATTTTAGTCCTCTCTCATTTTTCTTCAAGCTCACATTCTATCTTATGACTTTCAGTCACATTTTTTTACTGAAATCTGTAAAACACAACTTTGGACATCCATTGCCCTGCTCATATAACTTAAAAAGTTCAATCATTATGTATAGCAGATAGAACCTTCGAGAAAAAAATACTTGAGACATAGTCCATACTATTTAGTAATTTAAAATATAATGAAGAAAATCATATATGAAAAAAGTCAAAAGAAATATGAAATATTTCTAAGTTTTCTGTGTACCCACTTTCTGTTGGTTAGCATAGCACCCATGTCCAGACTCTAATCCCAGATTAAGAGAATCTTAGATGGAAGACTAGTGCATGTGTAACTTTTATTGTCTTTAACTAATTTAAATGGCAACCAGTAGGGAACTGAAAAATATCTACTGAACTGAATTTAAAGGCCATTTTAAAGCTTAAATTTCAGCTAACTCCAAAATTCAGTATAGTCAAATATCTCATGTGCTTGTGCCTGGTAAGGATTTAATGATGGTGCATTAAATGTCAGATAATTGTACACTACACTACTTTTTACAGTGTCTCACAGTAGAGGTCAATGAAATGAAGAAGAAATCTGCTACCTATACTCTTTTTCAAAGCATTTTATATACAAAACTAAAGGAAAGGAAAGGAAGGTAAGGAGAAAAAAAGAACAGAAGAAAATGAAGGCAGACAGGCCAGCTCTTACCTTGATACAGGTGGTCGTGCTCTATGAGTTCTTTCTGTGGGTGGGTACAAGGAGCAGGAGGGGTCTGGTACATGTCTCTCCAACTTTTCAGTTTCTTGAGGTGAAGTGTCTGCTGTCAGTCTAATTCTCTCAACTGGAGTGAGCCAAAATGAGAAAGGGCTGGATGATGAAAAATACTATTTGATATCTTTGGATATATTGCTTTTTCAGGTTGATGTACCATCTATAAAGTGAGAAAGTAATTCAAACTTTTAAAAAGTCTAATTTAATCATTACACTATTAGCTATCATGCGTCATCAGGTCACAATCCACTGTATAGTCTTGTATAGTAGCAGAGGACCTTCAACCATTGACACAAATTCTTACATCTTCTATCTATTAAAACCATCTGATACCAAACTTCAAATCATAAAATGCACTGCCTTGTGTTAAAACTGGCAGTTTTTATGTTAAGGCAACAAGAATATATAAACATAAAGTAAAATAAAGCTATAGGATGTTATTCCAAAAACAGAGAACCTCAAAAAGTATACCATTTTACACTGGTCAGGATGGCCATCATAAAGAAAGCAACAAACAAATGCTGGAGAGGTTGTGGGGAAAATGGGACCCTAGTTCACTGTTGGTGGGATTGCAGACTGGTACAACCACTATGGAAAACAGTATGGAATTCTCTCAGAAAACTAAAAATGGATCTGCCTTTTGACCCAGCAATTCCACTGCCAGGACTATATCCTAAGAACCCTGAAACACCAATCCGAAAGAACCTATGTATCACATTGTTCATAGCAGCACAATTTACAATAGCCAAGAGTTGGAAGCAACCTAGGTGCCCGTCAGTAAATGAATGGATCAAAAAATTGTGGTACATATACACAATGGAATTCTATGCAGCAGAGAGAAAGGAGGAGCTCCTAACCTTTGCAACAGCATGGATGGAACTGGAAATCATTATGCTGAGTGAAATAAGCCAAATGGTGAAAGACAAATACCATATGGTCTCACCTTTAACAGGAAGCTAAACAACAAAACAAGCAAGTGAAATAAAAAGAAACACTAAAATAGAGAACAGGGGGACAGCGACCAGAGGGGAGAGGGGAGGCAATTTAAGGGGAGAAATGGGAGGGATTTGGAGGAACAAGTATAAAGGATACGGACAATAACTAAGGGGGGTAGAAATGGGAGGGAGGTGGGGAGCATGGAGGGTGGGCTGGGATGGGAGAAATAGAAAACTGTAGTTAAAAAATAATTAAATAAAAAAATTTTTTAAAGTTATCACAGACCAATGAGTTAGTTACTCATTGACGTGTACTCTCATACCCTAACCCACACTGTGGCTTACTATAGTGGCTAGGTACCAAGTTACTCAGAAAGAATAAAAGCACATGCACACTCATAAGAACATACCAAGCACATGTCAAAACTGGTGAAATAGGAATAAGGCTTGTATTTGAGTTAACAGTATTATTGTACCAATGTCAAACCCTTGGTTGACGATACTGTGGTTTTATAAGATGTCATTACTGGGGGATGTGAGAGAAGGGTACTCAGAGTCCCTGGGCTATTTTCATAACTTCTTGTGAATCTTAAGCTATCATATATTGACACCTGTGTAAATAGCGAGATTTGCCATGGATTTCTTATTTTGAAAGATTGAAGAATTTGTGTCAGTTTCCACATGAATTCAGAGGTTTTCCTCAATTGTAACTGATGTGCTTTTAAAATAAAACACTAGGAAACAGAGTCTCCAAATATAGTTCATGAAAGAGAGTCCATTTTATATCCCAATTTTATTAACCTTTTTTCAATCGTCACAACATTAATCTATTGGGGATGATCTAATTAGTATATTTGAAATTCCATTTATTTTTTCTATTGATATGCATGATATACACTTATATATAATACAGAATTTTCAGTGTTGTTTGAAAGGACATAGTTTAATAAATGAGAGGCATGATCTATAATTTCCAACAAACCTAGGACAAATTCATAATTTTCAAAATATGTTTTTTCCTTCGTTCCAAGTATATTAATGATATCATTAATGCAGAAACTCCAGCACAACTGTTACTCCTGTCTTTGAGTTCATACAGTATCAAACCATTGCAAAATCCATGTGGACCGTCTAATTAGTTTTATGTATAATTAAAATGAAAGGAGAAAGTCATTTCATTGACTCGTAGGGCAATATACGTTAGTTCAATGTCAAAAGCGTTCTTTACAAATTTAATTTCTAGCAAATGTTAACACTTTTAATGGTTCTGCCCAGAAAGATTCTAGGTAATGTATCAGTCTTTGAAAGTTGCTTCCAACTAACAGACCAATGGTCTGCAGGCTGTCTCAGCCTCCATCATGGAAGCCAACATATACCTAATTGCCCACGTCATGAGTTTCAGAAATACAAAAGATGTCCACACCTTCTCTTACATAACGCTAATAAAATGATATCTGAAGTATCTTCCCATTAGTCTGAATAGAACACAGAAAATCCCTCTGTTTACATTCCTTCAAATGAAGTTTACACAACATTATTACAGAACGGCTTTGCAATTTCCATTCTTCTCTCCCCTCACATCATAAATGAAACAAAATAAATGTAGTATAAAATTATGCATTCTGTAATAACTTAGGAAAAAAAGTACGTACATGTTTAAGGCCCTTAAATATTTATAAAATTTTCCAGTAGAACTGAAAACCACAAATGTTAAAATGACTAAAAAAAAAAATGTGGGCAAAAACAGAACTAAGAAACTGTTCAGATGGGTCAACTGTAAGCAAATATTTGTAACATTTAGACCGAGGAAAATGAACAATTTTATTAACAGATTGAACGAACAGCATTCAAATAAACAGTCACTGGGAATGAGCAAGAGACAGTCTTCTCAAATGAGATAGAAAGGATAGCTTAAAAAAAATAGAAGAAATGTAAGTATTGTAAATAACTTCTAAGCTAAGAAATCAGAAACCCACATGCATCCCTGGCAATCTTTGAAATGGAAGGCTCCCTAAGTACTTGACTGCTCACTGCTGATTTCTGTGAAGGAAAAAAGGAAACATAAAAAGGAAAGAGAAAAAGCCCACTTAAACAAAAAACGGAAAGGGAGAGTGCTCTAGAGGTACAAAATAGTATATAATGAAAATGGTAATTCAGTTCTAACTACTACCTATTTAACTGACAGAGAGCTGCAGTAGTGTGTTAGCCTTGGGGGAACATGTCAGCTAGTCTATACATTCTTATGGGATTGATGTATTCAGGTAACTATTACTTGCCAACAATAATTATTATCACTGGATATATTTTTCCATTCCTTTAACAAAAGCGACTTTAAGATGTTAAAACAGGTAGGCTTTCAGAGCTCCAAGGTTAGGATACAAATAAAATCATCTCAGTCCACGCCATGCCGGAGGAGAGGTTTGTAAAGGAAATGTCACTAAAGCCATGTTCAGTCCCACTAGCCACCGAACACAGGACCAGGCCCAGGAACACATCCATGACAGAAGGCCAGTGCACTTGGGAGACTTTCAGAAACAAGAAAAGCAGTCACATTTGGAGTCAATAGCCCAAAAGACAAGTGTCTCTGACATCACCCGGAAACACCAGCTCTTCAGATGGCAACTTCCAATTCTTTTAGCAAGTGCAATGTTACAAGCTGAACACGGTGCAAATCTGATGAACCCCTCATGACACAGAAGTTCATGTCTGACTTTTCAAAAGTCTTGGTTTCAAGAAAATGCTGATTACGAGCCATGAAATCCCTTGGAAATAAGAGTCTGCAGTGCCTCTTCTGAGCAGTATAAAAATCTTCCTTCAAGATCACCTCAGAAGTTAAGTTTCTATGCATATGTTCAATTTAATCAGCCTTGAGGGTCACTTGATTTATTCTTAGTTAATGGGTTACCTAGAAAGGAAGAAGAAAATATAATCATTTTATAAAATAGCTATAATCTTAAAACACCAAACACAATTTAGTATTAGAAATTAATATGTAATTCAAAATGCTGATATGTGCTACATTAAATTGTTGAATCTTAAAAGACTACCATTACCCTATTGAGATGTTTTGAGCTTATAGAAAATACACCCATATTTTTCTCTTTATTACCGTACAGCATTTTTAGAGCCACTTGCACAATTATCTAAATGACTCCAACTGTGTCCAGGAAGATCTTAACTGGTGAGCTGCCCCTGTTGAGCCCAAAGAATGAGCCTGGAATGCGTGTGCTTTGCCCTAGTTCAGTGGACATAATCAGAGACTATACACGCATCACGCCAGGCCTCGGGGAAGAAAGACCTTTGTTCACAGGAATGCAGTTAGACCACGTTTTCAAGAAAGCCCTTGGGAACTGGCTCCATAAAATCCATTCTCGAAATGGTTTAAAACTGAGTGCTTATTTGACTCTTATTTCAGGAAAGTTAATTATTCATGAGGGTGTTTAGAGTTGCCTAACAGTTCATTTTGAGCAATCGTTATAACAAAAACAGCATTCTTAAAAAATTATTGTGGATACTTTGGTTTTATTCCATTAGTTGACACAGTAAATTATCCTTTCATGAATCACTTACAAAAAGGCTATTTTTCTTTTTCTTTGTTTTGTCGTTTTAGTGACCAACTATGAAAAAGAAACATCAAACAAACGAAAGCTAGCTCTAGATTTTGTTCTACCAGAGCTAGTCTCAAATTCTACCACAAAAGGAAGATGTAAAATTCAAAAATGTACTTTCCGCAGGGAGGCAGCCATCACGCTTGCGCATCTCCAGGCAGCTCTCATTACCCGGGAAGGAGCCTCTGCCTGTGTATTGGGAATGTCTTAGTCCCATGAAGAGAGGAACTGTGGGAAGAACTAAACTGAGGGGACGTTTACAAACACATACAGAAAGGGCTCCCTGACCCCCAGAGCTCACAGGAGCAGGGAAGATCCCAGGTGGGGCAGCAACTCCATAACTTCCCATTCAGTGGTCACTTCACACAGGTTCTGGGAGTGGCTTCCAGGCTGGGCGTCGGTGTAAGAAAAGCATGGGAAGGGAATAGGACTCTTTCTATGTACATTCTGATCATTGTGGAAAATACAAAACCTTTATTATTATAAACTTTCTTGGTAAATATTAATTTTAAAAATCTTTGATTTCCAGTGGCAGAAAAAGATCCACCTGCTTCTTCGGAAAGTTCTGAGTGTTATGCTATATCCTGAGTCCTTATATTATGCTTCATAAGTTTTTATGAAGCATAATATAAGACTGTATTTCTAAAACTAGTGCTTGGAAGGGCAGGGAAAGAGGAAGTGATACAGAGAGGAAAAGAGACTGTGAGAGAATAGATAGTTCAAGGATTCGGCACAGGCAACTGGGGGGTCATGTGTCATGACCGTGAAAATGAGAGGCATGTCCTCCAAGTCATTTCCAGCCCAGTTTCTGAATAATCTACTGGTGGCTATGATAGATGCATTCTTATATTTTTATTCCAAGCTAAACTAAGTATTTCATTCTGCTGCTTCATTTAAATCTGAAGAGTAATTCTCTCAACTACTTACATATTAAAGCTTTGTCTTCAAATAATTTTATGTTTTGCATTTTAACATTTTGTTTATGCTATTCTAATTGTCCCATTTTTCCTCCTTTACCCCACTCAAATAGACATCCAAATTGACAGTACAATACCAAAGGTTTATGTACACAGAACAAATTTTTCTCCATCTCGGTAGAGAAAACATAAGTATATACATAAATATATAAACACATAAGTATAATTATATCACCTATACCATCAGAAATATTATAAGTATACATTCTTATTACAATAAGTTTCTATCCGCTAAAATAATCTCTAGAAAACCAAAACTGAAACCAGACTAAAAGAAGTATTTGTTTAAGTACGAATTGAAACATAATTAAGACAATTTTTCACACTCTACTTTTACAAAATATTCCTAGTTTGTTAATCCTGAAAATATTATAGCACATTTTATTAGATTAAAAGTAGTAAATAAGTTCTTTCTAGTATCAGATGAGACAATTGTTTCAGGTTTAATGTCTGCAAACTGCCTGATTTCTATCACAAGACCACGTGGCTCAGCATTCTGGATTCAGGTCAGTGTGGCCGTAGCACTACTCCGGATGGCTGTGTCCTGCGCCTTTGGGGCTCTCGTTTTTCCATACGTAGACAGGGGATAACCCTGTTAACCTCACAGGGTGCTATGAGGACCAAATATGATAATGTTTATGGAAACACCTAGCTTTGATGACTGAAGTACTATAAAAACAAAAGGTTTTTTTTTTTTTCAATTGCATAAATCTTTGGCAAAAGAGCCACTAAAAATAGATTGAACCCTGGCTGGTGTGGCTCAGTGGATTGAGTGCCAGCCTGTGAAGAGAAAGGTCACCAGTTCAATTCCCTCACATGCTTGGGTTGTGGGCCAGGTCCCCAGTTGGAGGCGTGCGAGAGGCAACTGATTGATTTTTCTGTCCCTCTCTTTCTCCCTCCATTCTCCTCTCTCTAAAAATAAATAAATATATATATTTTTTAAATTCCCTTTTTAAAAAAAAAAGAGATTGAAAGGATCACACTAACAGACAAGTTACATTTGGGGAACTTGAGGAATTCAAACAAAGGCTGAGTAATGACTTGCCCTTTCAATGTAGCATAAATGTGAACATGTATCAGTACCCTCCGTGACAACCTCCAGATTCTGTACCAAATGAAATGACAAAACCATAGACTTAAAAATTCACAGAATGTGATTTTGAATAGAGGTATGTGATCACCAGTTTTCATCACCTAATATATAAGAACCAAATAACATTTTAAAATAAAATTCCTGTCTAAAATGTAACACAAAAAAAACCACAACCTTCTTCCGAGTTATATGCTCATTAAATAAGTCCAGCTGAGTAGAGTTTAAATTCTGGTGTGCCAGTCGGGCAGAGTACGGATGTCACTTCACCCTGGTAGACTGTAGCTGGCACTTCCTGATACTGGAGTTGCCTGAGCAATACCAATACAACCCCATGCTTAAATTTTTTCTCAATTAAAAGCAATTTTTAATACACAAAGATAAGCATCACCTTATTTTTAGAAACTAAAGATTACCCTCTTTTCACTCAAGCCATCTCTTGGATGGCTTGGAGGACATGTAGTAAAATTTTTACCTTCTAAGGAGGATTTTTAGCAAGTTTTCAGTGACTGAAAGCAGGAGGTTGTAACAAAACCAGTTTTACAGGATAGGAAATAACATTTGCTACCATGAATGCACTGTCTTCTAGTTCTGAGGGCAATAGACATAAAAAACTGCACGAGGGAGAGAAATGGTCCCGAAATCACGGTTATGCCTGGAGCTTCATACGCTATAATTGCCATCTCAGTAAATTTGCTTTCCCAAAGACAATATTTTTACACAGCCATTCTCATTTATGTAAATGTTATTTGTGCATACTTCACACCAGCCAATTTTTAAGTGAATCTACTTGGCTGCTGAACACATGCAAAATGAGATAATGATAATAATAGTAACAATAATAAAATAATAACACTTCTCCTAGTCACAAGCACAAAGTTATCTTGTTAATGGTTCAGCAGGATGAAAAGGCTAATCTGCTAACATTAAAAAAGAAAGCACTAAGTTTTTAAGATAAGAGCATCCATTTATTTCTCCCCATCCAACAAATCTATTACCTATAGCAGGGATGGCAAATTCATTTTCACTGGGGCCCACATCAGCCTTGCAGTCCCCGAATGTAATTTTAGGACTTTATAAGTGGAACTACTTTCAACAGTTAAGTGAGAGCTCGGCGCTGCTGCAGGGTAGAAACAAGGTGGAGGGCTGGATTCGGTCTGCGGGCTTTATGTTTGCCACCTGCGACGTATAGGGTCCTGATTAGGTTTCTCAAAAAAATTATACTAAGATCATGTCTTTTAATTTTATATTAAATTTATAGTAAAATCAATTTGAGAAAACAAAACCAGGTAAATGGCATCTATAATATCCGTTACATTCACAAGTGAAATCAACTATTTTATACACTTCTCATTTAATATTCTGAGCGTTGTGAAATATCCTCTTCAAGTTAAAAGATGAATGAAAACGACTCAAAAGGAAGGGACTTTGAGAAACTGTTCTGTCCCCACATGTAAAAGATGCTTTTATAAAGCTTTTAAAATCATCATATTTATGGAGTCTAGTCTCTCCCCCTGTTTAAACCCTGCTGAGGTGGTCACCACCATCTTGAGAAATACAGTGGGAGACGCCACTGTATTGGTGAGGGGCCTAATGACAAATAGCGAGGGCTCTGCAGGAAAAGCACCTGCGTGCAGACACCTGCCTTGTGTAACTTTCTAACACTGGGGGGGCTGAATAACTTCAACTCCCTCAGCCCTAGTCTCCCCATGTGTAACAGGACAGTAGGATTATCAGCCCCCATATGTTTGCAAATGTGATTAAGTCAGATAATTTCTGAATGTGCCTGTCTAGCTAAATGCTTTTTTAAATACTGAGAGGTGGTAGCAGTAGTAATTCCCAAAGAAGACACAAAAGATACTACATGGGATATGTACTGGGGGGGAGGGACATCACTTCTTATTTCTCTACAAATATTGACTTAAAGTTAATATTCTGTGTCTTACTGTAACTGATCATGCAATTATATCTTTTCATATTCTTGTCCATCATAAAAGCATGTATCTAGAGTGATGCACCACTTTTTTGGCCAACTTTGGGAGAGACATTGTCTTTCAGACAAGGTGACAGAGGGTAGTGGTTAGAAAGGATGTATCTCAAAGCTAAGCTAAGCTCATTTCTGCTGATAACTCTGCCTGTGACCTTGAGTGAAACAGGTATAATATTAATGTCCAGGACAGACAGAGGTGTATAAGCGGAGAAGTAACTAGGGCCAGTTTTTGGAACAGGC